AATCCAGGTCTCCTGCACTGCAGGTGGATTCTTTACCATCTGAGTTACCAGGGAAGCCCATACTGTAAACTCGGTGAAATTAACTTTGGGAAGCCTTGTGGGATACCCCCAAAAGTGAACAAGGCAACCTCCAGAGCCACAGAAAGTGACATATGAGAGTCCCCTGTGTCTGCAGACAGGAGAGGGGCCTCTGAAGGTGGAGTTGCCCTGGGCAGAGGAACCAGACAACGGTTTTAAATATTAGCCTCTAATTGAACCTCACAAGAGGAGACGATGTTAATTGCAGCCACTAATTATTGTATGAACTGCTCCCTACATAAGCAGCTCCACACAGCATGTTCCAAGGGGAGCAGCTTGGGCGTTTAACAGGGTTGATGAGTCTCTTACACAGTGCGAGGGCGGCCAGCACACATACATACCACGTGGTCTTGTATTGATGTCTGTATGCATGGTGTGTATTATGTGCTGCTAAACGAGTATCACCCTGTTCCCTCCTTTATTCGCCTCTTACAGTCATGCAGTAACACCATTCACTCAATCCTAAGACATCTTGAGTGCCTGCTCTGTTCTAGACTCAGCAATACAGGTAGATTAGGGCCCTAAAAGAGTGATGCTTTGTGGAAGTTAGGAGTCTGTCTATACCTCCTGCATCTGGGTCAGTGCTGGCACATAGTTCATGCTCAATGTTTGTTGAATGAATGATATGTAATATGCATACATACATACCTATATATATATAGTGAATATATACTTTATGTCAGTGTTTTATGTCTATTACAATGTATGTATCACTCCCAGGTGGCGCTAGTGGCAAAGAACCTGCCTGCTAATGCAGGAGATGTAAGACATGCGAGTTCGATCCCTGGGTTGGGAAGATCCCCTGGAGGAGGAAACGGCAACCCACTCCAGTATTCTTGCCCGGAGAATCCCATGGACAGAGGGGCCTGGTGCACTACAGTCCATAGGGCTGCGAAGAGTCAGACATGACTGAGGCTCCTGAGCACGCAATCACTGTTATAGCTACAGAGTAATGTGGACATATGGGTTATTCGTTAGTGGTTTCTGCTGTATACATCTTACTATCTAAATAGTTTTGTAGCCTGATTTTTCCTCCAGCTTCTTCCTGCCCCATGTCCCTAAAAAGAGAAAGGCACAGAAGACCACAGGCTTACCCTTGGCCTCAGAATGCAGCGTCACCTGTGTAGCAGCAGTCCTGACCAGGCGCTGCTCCAGGGGTGGAAGAAGGCCCGGCCCTCCGTGTGCCCTCTTCTCTGGTGCCCCCCCTCCCGAGTCTCTCGAGCTGTCTCTGGCAGGGGCTTGTTTTGTCTGCCCCCGAGAGACTGGTGGCGCTGCCGCATCCGCTTTGCCTAATGACTGGGTCTCTGCAATCAGCGGACTACCTGCTTTTCGAGCTGAAGCAGGAAAGGTGTGCTGATTGCTGATGACACAGACTCTGAATTTCCCAAATCCGTCTTGGGAGGTTTCCGCTGAGCGTGGTGTGCGTCCCCAGGCAAATTGGAGGGTGGAGCCCAGAGGGCAAGGGGCGTGGTGGAGAGTGAGGGGGACAGCGGCAGGTCCCCGGAACCACCTGCCTCGTCCGTCTGTGGATGGTTTTCTTGCTCTCGACTCTCCTTGCTGTCTACGTAACTCACCCTTTAAGCTGCCGTTGCTTTCCACCCCTGCTTCTCCTCTGCAGGTGGTGAAAACCCTTCGGAGGCCTGCATTCCAGCCTCCTTATTCTCTGTGTGACCTTGGCAGACCACCGCAGCACTCTGGGGACACCCACCCGGTTGCTGCTTGCTCTTCTCTGAGAATTAAAAGACAGTAACGCCACTGCTGGCCAAGCCTTTCCTCTCTGCCACGCTCATTCTGTGCTCACAGCAGCCCTGCGAAGGGGCCCCTGCTGCCTCCATTTTACCCATGGGGATCAGAGAGGTTGAGTAACTTGCTGAAGGTCACATAGCCTGTAGGTGGTAGAGATGGGATTTGAGCCCAGGCATCCTGGCTTCAGAGCCTACTTTCATGATCATGATAGTGCAGATCAGACCCACCTCAGGTCCCCACTTTCTCTGCTCACCTGCTTGTCCCAGCCCAGAGCCCCCCATCCCTAAGACGCAGCGCCTGCCCCGTCCCTGTCCTCTGTCCCCCAGGAGGGCCCTGCAGGTCAAGGTCGGAGGGCCTTGTTGTTCCCTCTGCATGATGTTGACCTGTCCCCCAGGAGGGCCCTGCAGGTCAAGGTCGGAGGACCTTGTTGTTCCCTCTGCATGATGTTGACATGGGCCAGGGTCACCCGGGCACAGCTGGGAGGGGCTATCTGGGCTCGTCTCGCTTGGCTCACATGGCTCGAGGCCTCACCTGGGAGCCAGGACCTGGCTGCCTGGCTTTGTGGTCCCTCGACTGTGTGGCCTTGGGCGGGTCTTCTTGCCGCTCTGCTGCTCGTCTCTAAAAGAAGCCTGGCGTGGCCCTGACGGGGCCTGTCTTACAAACACACCGATGCCTCGTCCCCTCGCCTCCCAGGGACGCTGTCATCCTGGCCCGCTCGCAAGGAGCTGAGCCCGGGCGATGCTCCTGCCGTCTGCTGGGATTGTGCGCCCAGCCGTCTTCCTGGTGTCTTGCTGAGCTGACAAGCACCCCCTCGCCGTCCCGCAGTGTGCATTATTTCCTCTGACAGCCCACCAGCCTCCTGGCTGGGGGCCCCGCCTCACACCGCCGCTCACCTCATCAGCACCGAGATGGGGATCTCGCAGCTGGCAGTTTCAATCAGCCGCGGTGTTCTACCAGCCCGTGTGCGCACCCCCACCTCTCCACGCCGCCCCTTTTCGTCAGTCGGGCTTGACCCTTCCGCTTCCTCGGTCTTTCAGTCGGGCTTGACCCTTCCGCTTCCTCGGTCTTTGCTCACTCTCTCTGTCAAATTGAAAAGGACGCACAATCAAGGAAAAGGCACAGACTTACGATACCGTGGATGGACCAGCTGGCCTGCTACAGGGAGCTGAGTGTGTCCCTGCAAAAGGAGCCCTGGGCCTCGCTGGCTTTCCCAGGGGCAGGCAGGCAGAGCCCCAGAAAGATCACTGGCTGGTGAGCGAGGCAGCCTGCCCCGAGTGACTTCCCTGGCCTCAGTTTCCTCATCTGCAAAATAAACAAAAGCCATCCCAGGCTCAGAAAAGGGCTGTGCTGTTGGTGGGTCTTGGGGAGCTGAGAGCCGTACTTAAATGGACCCACAGTCCTGAGGTTTTCACCCTTCATACTCTCATCAGTTGGGATATACCTGGTGCCCAAGACAACAGTCAAAAAGAAACTTGACCTAAGAGCAGCTTGAAGGAAAAATCCTACCCCTCACCCACCTTTGCTCCTATCCGTAAATATTCTCAGCTCTCCACGTGTTTTCCCAACTGCACGTGTGCTGTTTGCATGGAGACCTGGGCATAATATTTTCTGTTCTTTTCTGCTTACTCGACACTATTTCACTAAGCATTCCCTGCTGGCACCATCCTAATTGCTAATGTTGACTTCTGTCTGAGAGCATCAGAGTGACGCACTGCAGTCTCCCTGCCAGTCCCCGCGGCTGGGTGACGGGGCGGCTCTCAGGCTCTCGGTATCACCAGTAGCTCCATTCCAAGCGTCCTTGGGTCCAGGGCCTTGCTCTGCTCCCCGCTTTTTTTAATGTTTATTGTTGATGTTACTGTTGGTTGCCCTGGGTCTTCACTGCTGCACACTGGCTTTCTATAGTTTCTGTGCATGAGCATCTCATTGCCGTGGCTTCTCTGGTTGCAGAGCACAGGCTCTAGGCTTGCAGACCTCAGTACTTGTGACTCGCAGGCTCAGTAGTTGTGACACATGGGCTTAGTTGCCCTGCGGTGTGTGGGACCTTCCCAGACCAGGAGTCAAACTCGTGTCCCCTGCATCGGCAGGCAGATTCTTAACCTCTGGGCCAGCAGGGAAACCCTGCTCTGCCTTTTGACTCCTTCCCTCGCTAGGATTAGCTCCCAGACGGTGGGTCTCTGGGTTGAATGCAGGGTTTCTCAGGCTGGACGCTGGTGACACTCGTGTGAAGTAATCGGTCCTCAGTGGTGGGGGCTGCTCTGTGAACTGAGGATGCTGGACAGCACCCTTGGTCTCTGCTCTGCGAGAGGCCACCAGACCCCCATTGACAACCAGCAATGCCTCTACACAGCGTCCCCTGGAGGGCAGACTCACCCTCAGCCAACAGTCACTGTGCGAACGGGGAGCAGTGTGTGGAAAACGTGACACGTGGCAGTCAGAGGCTTTCCAGAGAGTCTGGATGAAATCTGGTTAGGGTGGAAAGTGCGGATGAGCACAGATGGAGTCTGCTGCATCTGCTCAAGTTCCAGCTTGAGTTCCATTCAAGCCTTTGCTCCCCCAGGCCTCATCTCTTCATCTGTGAAATGGGGACAGTGATAGAGCTGCGTGCCAGGCTCGTGAGCTGTGACTGAAGGCAGGGGCCCTAAACACTGAACACATCACTGGGCGTGGAAAGGTCTCAGTACACTTCAGTGGTGCTGGCCAGCTGCAGAGGGAGCTCCGCTGGGGTTTCTGTCTTTGCCCGTGCTGCCTTTGAGGGCGGCGGGAGGGCTGGGGGAGTCTGGGTGACAGAGTTGAGAGGGACCTGCTCTTCTGCTCTCCCACCAACCTCCCCCCACATACATCCCTGGGGCAGGACTCAGCCTCCAGAACCGGCCTCAGCAGCTCTCCTGCGAAACATCACTGAGTCTTATGTCCTCCACCCATCCAGGGCATCCTGTGTGGGGTCGTGCAGGCTGGGTCCAGCATTCCTGCTGTGCATGAGCGCCTGAGGCATCTGTTCCTGCTCTGAAATCTGCAGCATCTGTCTGAGGCTCCATAAGCCCTTCCTTAGGGAGAGCCCCTAATGGGTACCCACCATGTCACAGGGACCCGGTGAACACCAGGCTCCTCCCCAGAACTCTCGTAGGTGAGTGGGGGTCTCGCCCAGGGCCAACATGTGCTGTGGTCTCTGTCCCCAGGAGAAGTACGTGGAGGAGCTTGCCGCAATCAGACAGACCCTGCAGACTGACCTGGAGACATCCATCCGGCGCATCGCCGACCTGCAAGCAGCCTTGGAGGAGGTGGCGTCCAGCGACAGCGACACAGAGAGGTAACCTGCGAGGGGCAGGCGGGGCCGGGCATGGCAGGGGGACTGCGCCCTGGGGGCTCTGCGGTCTTCAGCGGACAGGGCTCCCCTCTCCAGTCTGGGGGTCCGGGGACTCAGGCGCGCTGGGGGCAGGAGGACAGCGGGCTGGCTTGGGCGAGCAGAGGCGGGATGCTCCCCGCTGGTGGTACCGTCCTTGTTGTGGTCCTGGGCTGGTGACCGCTGCTCAGAGGCGTGTGCCGCCGACTCCCCCATGAAGGTGTTCATTCTCAGCATCATTGTGACACAGACCCAGTGGACTCGCCGTGTTCTGGCCTCTAAATGAAGGGCTTTATCTAAAAAAATCCTCAGTTTGTGCAAAAATAGCTTCCACACCAACATCCTGAGGATTTCTACGACGTCCCACTAATGTGCACAGCTGCGAAATTGCTGGTAAAATGGCAAATCCCGATCCTGCAGCCGCTTCCCAGCTCACAGTCACATTCAGGGTCCCCGCCCTCCCCCGCCCCCCGCCAGTTTTATCAGTCACGACAGAACCGACGTCTGTAATTACAAACCCCTGGCATCAGTACTGCCTGCTCCGTGCTTGGGCTGGCTTCTCCGTTAATAGAAATGCTGGAGCTTTTGCGTTAATTATAAAGGGAATTAATGACTGTATATACTAGTATTGGAGGTTTTTACAAATGAGCAAAACTTTTAAACCATTTTTGCTTGCACAGAAGTAGATTGCTTTTCTAATAAACAGTAAAAGTTCTGAAAATAACAAGACTGGAAAGAGGCAGAGTCTGTTCTTGGAGGTGCAGGCACAGGCTGGGCACGTGTGAGAGGAAACCAGGGGCCACGACTGTGAAACAGCCTGTGTTCAGGACTGTGTGAGGGGTGAGGTGGCCACAGGACCCCCGGGGTGAAGAAACGCACCTTGGACCTGGAAGAGCCCAGGCCGCACGTGGGATTCTTGCAGCTCGAAGAGGGGGGCGGCTTAGGGAGGGCGCAGGTGCTGCCTTTCAGCCAGCCCGATTTCCAACCAGGGATCCGAGGGTTCATTTTGGCATGACTTTGCTCAAGTTTGTCAACTAGCTGGCTCAGATGGTAAAGAATCTGCCTGTGACGCAGGAGACATGGGTTCGATTCCTCGGTGGGAAAGATCCCTTGGAGAAGGAAATGGCAACCCAGTCTAGTATTCTTGCCTGGAGCATCCCATGGACAATGGAGCCTGGCGGGCTACAGTTCATGGGTTGAAAGAGTCGGACACAACTTACCAACTAAACTACCACCTATATTCTTACCAGGGGAGAATCCCCTGGACAGAGAGGCCTGGTTGGCTACAGTCATTGGGGTCGCAAAGAATCAGACATGACTGAGTGACTAATACTTTTACTTTCCTCCAGTTATTCAATCTCTTTGAGCCTCAGTCTCTTCATCTGTAAGATGGGTTGATAATAAGAAGTGAAAAAATCCAACCCTGGCACAGACCCGTGTACCTGGCGGGGCTCAGCCATCATCAGTTCCATTCATTCATCGGTGTGATCGGTTCTACCTGTTCCACGCCACACTGAATCGGGCGTTTGTCTCAGTCCACTTGCTTCTTGTCATCATGTGTCTCTGTCTTAGAGATACAGGGAGACTGAATAACTTGCCTGGGGGCAGGCGGAAGTTAAAGTCCTGAGGAGTAGAAAGGGGGAGAGCACAGGTCTCTGCCTCCAAGGAGGCCACATTCTGTGTGTGTGTGTGTGTGTGTGTGTCCCTGCCCGTGAATACAGTGGACAGACTGATCAATAAAATCCTAGACTATAGTAGGAGTTACAAAGACAGAGAACACGATGCTTTGATGAATGGCAGGGGGGTACACTTGGCCTCTCTGAGAGGAAAAATTGAACTGAAACCTGGGTTGAAAGCAGGAGCCAGAGGTGGGAGCCTGGAGAAAAGTGAGTCAGGGCTGTCGAAGAGTGTTCTGGAAGTAAATCTTGACCAGCCTGCCCAAGTGAGATAAACGGGAAAGAGCGAGAGTCTCCTGCTCTTCTTCCTTCCCTCTCTCCCGCCTTTCTTTGCCTTTTGAAGTGGCCCACTGTGTCCTCATGAAGTGCCCCAGGACCCCAAGCAGGATTGGCAGCATAACCCATGAGTCCACGGAGGATGAGAACCTGGGGCTTTTTGTTCAAAGTCAGTTCAGTTCAGTCGCTCACTCATGTCTGACTATTTGCAACCCCATGGACTGCAGCACACCAGGCTTCCCTGTCCATCACCACCTCCCGGAGTTTACTCAAACTATGTCCATTGACTTGGTGATGTCATCCAACCATCTCACCCTCTGTCGCCCCCTTCTTCTGCCTTCAATCTTTCCCAGCATCAGGGTCTTTTCAAATGAGTCAGCTCTTTGCATCAGGTGGCCAAAGTATTGGAGTTTTAGCTTCAGCATCAGTCCTTCCAATGAATATTCAGGACTGATTTCCTTCAGGATGGACTGGTTGGATCTCCTAGTAGGCCAAGGGACTCTCAAGAGTCTTCTCCAACACCAGTGTTCAAAAGCATCAATTCTTCAGTGCTCAGCTTTCTTTATAGTCCAACTCTCACATCCTTACATGACTACTGGAAAAACTATAGCTTTGGCTAGACAGACCTTTGTTGGCAAAGTAATGTCTCTGCTTTTTAATATGCTGTCTAGGTTGGTCATAGCTTTTCTTCCAAGGAGCAAGCGTCTTTTATTTTTTTATTTTTTATTTTTTTTTATTTTTTATTTTTTTATTATTTTTTTTTACATGTATTCCCCATCCCGGTCCCCCCTCCCACCTCCCTCTCCACCCAATCCCTCTGGGTCTTCCCAGTGCACCAGGCCCGAGCACTTGTCTCATGCACCCAACCTGGGCTGGTGAACTGTTTCACCCTAGATAATATACGTGTTTCAATGCTGTTCTCTTGAAACATCCCACCCTCGCCTTCTCCCAGAGTTCACAAGTCTGTTCTATACATAGGAGTCTCTTTTTCTGTTTTGCACATAGAGTTATCGTTACCATCTTTCTAAATTCCATATATATGTGTTAGTATACTGTAATGGTCTTTATCTTTCTGGCTTACTTCGCTCTGTATAATGGGGAGCAAGCGTCTTTTAATTTCATGGCTGGAGTCACCATCTGCAGTGATTTTGGAGCCCCCAAAAACAAAGTCTGTCGCTATTTCCATTGTTTCCCCATCTATTTGCCATGAAGTCTTGCAACCAGATGCCATGATCTTAGTTTTCTGAATGCTGAGTTTTAAGCCAACTTTTTCACTCTTCTCTTTCACTTTCATCAAGCGGCTCTTTAGTTCTTTGCTTTCTGTGGTAAGGGTAGTGTCATCTGCATATCTGAGGTTATTGATATTTCTCCTGGTAATCTTGATCCCAGCTTGTGCTTCATCCAGCCCAGTGTTTCTCATGATGTACTCTGCATATAAGTTAAATTAACAGGATGACAAGATACAGCCTTGATGTACTCCTTTCCTGATTTGGAAACAGTCTGTAATTCCATGTCCAGTTCTGTTGCTTACTCACCTGCATACAGATTCCCCAGGAGGCAGGTAAGGTGGTCTGGTATTCCCATCTCTTGAAGAATTTTCCACAGTTTGTTGTGATCCATACAATCAAAGGCTTTGGCATAGTCAATAAAGCAGAAGTAGATTTTTTTCTAGAGTTCCCTTGCTTTTTTGATAATCCAGCAGATGTCAGCAATTTGATCTCTGGTTGCTCTGCCTTTTCTAAATCCATCTTGAACATCTGGAAGTTTACAGTTCACATACTGTTGAAGCCTGGCTTGGAGAATTTTGACCATTACTTTGCTAGCGTGTGAGATGAGTGCAATTGTGCGGTAGTTTGAGTATTCCTTGGCATTGCCTTTCTTTGGAATTGGAATGAAAACTGACCTTTTCCAGTTCTGTGGCCACTGCTGAGTTTTCCAAATTTGCTGACATATTGAGTGCAGCACTTTCACAGCATCATCTTTTAGGATTTGAAATAGCTCAACTGGAATTCCATCACCTCCACTAGCTTTGTTCGTAGTGATGCTTCCTAAGGCCCACTTGACTTCACGTTTCAGGATGTCTGGCTCTAGGTGAGTGATCACACCATCGTGATTATCTGGTTCATTAAGATCATTTTTGTGTAGTTCTGTGTATTCTTGCCACCTCTTCTTAATATCTTCTGCTTCTGTTAGGTCCATACCATTTCTTTCCTTTATTTTGCCCACCTTTGCATGAAATGTTCCCTTGGTATCTGCAGTTTTCTTGAAGAGATCTCTAGTCTTTCCCATTCTGTTATTTTCCTCTATTTCTTTGCATTGCTCACTGAGGAAGGCTTTCTTATCTCTCCTTGCTATTCTTTGGAACTCTGCATTCACATGGGTATATCTTTTAACTCAGATGACCATTATAGCTACTACTGTGGGCAAGAATCCCTTAGAAGACATGGAGTAGCCATCGTAGTCAACAAAAGAGTCCGGAATGCAGTACTTGGATGCAGTCCCCAAAACGACAGAATGATCTCTGTTCGTTTCCAAGGCAAACTGTTCTGTATCATGGTAATCCAAGCCTATGCCCCGACCAGTAACGCTGAAGAAGCTGAAGTTGAATGGCTTTATGAAGACCTACAAGACCTTCTAGAACTAACACCCCAGAAAGATGTCCTTTTCATTATAGGGGACTGAAATGCAAGAATAGTAAGTCAAGAAACACCTGGAGTAACAGGCAAATTTGGCCTTGGAGTACAGAATGAAGCAGGGCAAAGGCTAATAGAGTTTTGCCAAGAGAACGCACTGGTCATAGCAAACACCCTCTTCCATCCCCAGATTGTCAATACCGAAATCAGATTGATTACATTCTTTGCCGCCAAAGATGGAGAAGCTCTATACAGTCTGCAAAAACAAGACCGGGAGCTGACTGTGGCTCAGATCATGAACTCCTTATTGCCAAAATTAGACTTAAATTGAAGAAAGTAGGGAAAATCACTAGACCATTCAGGTATGACCTAAATCAAATCT